TTCCGTCCTTCAAACGACTCTCAATATTTTTAGGCACGGTAGACGTCGGCGCTATCCTCGAAGGAAACTGATAATGCACTTTTTCCGTCCAACATCTTTTCTGCCTATTTAATGCTACGTCGTCTCCCAGGAGCCGCATCTTCCATCTGAAGTCATTGACCTCGGAATTCTTCAGGGCAGCGAACTCGTGCAATCCCTTACCGATTAGAACGCCAATTTGCGAGTCTAAATTCCTATCACTTTTTATACCTTCCCGTTCTATAACTTTTAATACCGAACAAAAGGGTTTTATATCACAGAGACGTCTCGTTTCATCTCGCAATTCTTCTATCTCTGCGTTCGAATTAATACACGAAAATACATATGACGGCGCGTCTTTCAATGTTCCGTGAAGAGGATATTTACTAGCCTCATCCCACAGATCCTGTTAAGTATCCATCAGCTTATATTTTTGCAATGATTATGATAGTAATCCTTTAACTGTACAATATTGGAATATTTTATGTGCACTGACTAATCTTTTATGCTCACATTGTTATATTTATAAAATAATTGCAAATTTAAATAAATATTCTTTAGTATTTCTGCTACAATATGTGTACTGAAGTATATTTATAACTGTTAGATAAATATACGTTTCATTTTTATATTATATATACAATATGTATATATATATATATATATATCTAAAGATGTGTTCTATGCAACATGTGTTGCGTGACGCTTGTAACACTCTTGCAGTAATTTCATCCTTATAATTATTTATGAAATTCAAGCAAGAATATGAGATGATTCTCATCAAAAACATAATGTTTTACATACATGGTTATTTCACTATACACAGATAAATCTTAATCTAGTTGTACCAACGTTTTACCAAGAGAGATGAATATTTTACTCTCTCATATATTTGGTCTCTTGTCTTCTTTCCAGTTGCAGTAATTCATTTTAACGTTAATACAGTCATGAAGATTCAAGGTTTATTCGCGTCGCATGCTCTAACATGCTCTAAAATGCTCCTACTGTAGCATTTATTCACTCTAATGCACTCGTTGCTATAACAAGAGCACATTGGAGCATGCTAGAACGTGGAACGTGAACAAACCTTCAATCTGCATATACACACACACATATACATACAGGGTGAGACAAAAGTACCGCAACCCCTGAATATCTCGTAAAATATAATTTTACAGAAAAGTGTTTCAGATAAAAGTCGTAGAGTTTAAAAAGATTTTTTTACTGATCTTATCATTTTGACACGTGGCATCGCCAAGATTGGGTCAAAGTTAAATCGACTTTTTTCAATCCTCATTTTTTTATTATATAGTACATTCTTGTAGATCTCGAGAATTTCTCAAAATACTATAATGAAATATTTTTCCATTAAGTACTTTTTGAGTTCTAAAGTTTGAAAATTATAATATCATCAATATTATAACATTATCTATATAGACTGATAAAACTTTTCAAATATTGTTCAGGATTATGACTTTGGTAACATTTGTCAAAATCAAGGCTTTTGAGATTGTTCCTGTTATTTTCATTTTTACAAATCTCCAAACACGACCTTGACATACAAGATTATGACTCTGAAAGTCAGTGAGAGAACATTTTCACTTTGATTGCTTATAACTCTGTTAAAAATCATTGTATAATTAAAAAAAAAACAGATTCTTAAAGCTGAAATTTTACTCTATTAAACAATACAATTGTCAATATGAGTAAAATATTGTGTTCTAAACTTGCATAAAAATTTTTTGTAATCTAGCACAAACTTTTGCACTCATCCAACTACTATAAGAGAATCCAAGTCTTTATGTTTATATCCTTATGTCACTTGGATAATAAATTCACATACACATATTTAGTATCACTATTTATTATTTCCTTATGAATAAATAAAAACAAATGAGCATTGTGAACAATTAACTAAAACATCCTAAGATGCAAATGTAACCATATTTTCATATTTTTTATATTCAAGTCATATATTTAGTATATCAATCGCTATGCAAATATATATTCCATTGATACAGTCAAAGGATTAAAGAATAAGAAAGAGAATGTTGTTCCCCTTGGAGGTCTGTTTTTTATAACTGAAGTAGTATACATACTCCTTATACTTAAAATTTTATGTGTATATATATATATACATTTCACATTTGGCAAAAGTAAGAAAGTTAGTACAGTCCACTGCAGCAATAAACAACAGACTTGTAGCAAATTCGATCCCTTGCATTACATTTAATTAATGATTAATATACTAAAAGCTGCTATATATGAAATTAGCATAATTAAATATAAAAGTATATAAACACTTTAAACAATTAATAAGAATCAGCAATCCAATAAGCAAAATCAGAAACTATTCTTTTTTTTTTTTAATATTGAAGGCAACTTAAGCAAATCTGTTTCAAATAAATTGACAACAATCTATGGATAACTTGCCGTTTGGAAATATTGTCACTTTATTTAACAGAATATACATATATTATTTAATTGCAAAAGTTGATTATATTATATCACTGTATTTAAATACTTTGTACAAAGCAGCTTTTAATATATAGTCATCCAATGCAAAGCGAGTGACTGAATTCACTATTATATATGTTATATACGCAAGATACTCACCTCCTTGATCTGATCTAAGGTAATATTGCGATTGATTTCAAACGGTATGACAACACCGTTTGGCATCAGGCACGTGAGTTCCACCACAGCGGGCTCGTGCGCGTCCCCGGGCCTCTCCGCCCAAAAGTTATATTTGTATGCATTCGGTATGTTGCCGTGCACCATGATGAATAACAAAATCTCTCGAATACTCCTTTCAGGCACAAGTTAACACGCACGTACGGTGGGCGAAGCACCACGTACGTCAAGATCTCCTTACATCACAAGGGGAAACGGGAGCGTTATCAAAAATATCTCCTAAACCGTTCATGTTGCCGGACGAAACCGCGGCTCATCCTGTCCGTTTTACGAATGGGAAGCGAAATAGGTATCGTAAACGTCAGGAAACGTTGGGGAACGTCGCGGTGCAGGGTATGTCGCTGTTCACTCCGAATTACGACACAATCTCTCTCTCTCTCTCTCTCTCTTTTTTTCTCTCTCTCTCTCTCTCTTCGAGGGGGAATTCTTGCGCGTTCTCGCGCCGCGGGCGTCGCCTCACATTTGCGACGTGGCGGAAACACGTCTTAATTGATGCATCTTTTCAAATAAGACCGATACCTCGTACGTTTACGTGCCAAGATACAAATAACCATTATCGTCTACGCGTAATAACAATACACAGTTCCGCCATTATTTACCTCGCGTTCAGTCATGCGAAATTGGGCGCATTCAGCGAACTCAACAGTTTAGCGAGTTCTCACTGCTATTGGTGTATATTTTTCTAGATCTAAGAATCTGATTGGATGATCTAGAAGAATACACCAATAACAACGAGCAGTCACTCGACTGTTGAATCCGCGTTCTTTTCCCGATTCTTGAGAGTCGATGTTCTGGTCGGGAATATATAATCGATTTTCGAGAATTTTGATTCTTAAGGAATCGCTTCTCCTTTTTTTTTTTTAAGAATCGATTCTCTTTTATGGCAGGCAAAGATTATTTATATTGGCCGTAGTGGCCGTATTCTGTCAATTTATTATGCCGTAATCTGTAGAATTATAATCGATACCCAATTATAATCGATTATCCTCCTCTCGTTTGATTACGATTGGTCAATTCTTAATTATCAGGCTTAGGGTGCTATTTCATTTTGCGTTTTTGTCGCACGACGAATATGTGTACGACAGAAAAGTCCTCGGATCTCTCTATCGGATAGATTCTATCCTATACCCAATTCAACGGTTTAAAAACCTGTGTAAACAATTGACGACATAGAGAAAAATATCAGGACACTCCTCGTCTTGAACTCAGGCCTGTCTGTTCTCTCCTCCGATTTGGTAGACTTTCGTTCTGTCACTAAGCCACACAGCCCTGACGCTGTTGGTATCTCTGTTGTATCTATATCCAGTAAATTTCTTACACCTGTAAACTCGTGTTCATGGATTTACAATTTTTTACACGTAGCTGTTGAAAGTTTCTAAACAAAATGAATACGCGATTCATTTAAGTCCAGTCATTTAATTAGAACAGAACTTACAATCGAAAAGAAAGCAAGAGAGGAACAAAAACTTCAAAAAAGATCACAGTGTAATATTAATCTTAATATTGGATCATCTAAAAAGTATCCGCGGTACTTTGTCACTAGATATATGACCGTCAACACACATCTAGTGACAAAAAACCGCGGATACTTTTTAGATGGCCCAATATCGAGTCAAAGCAGAGATCAATTCTAGTACTTCGTACAGTGACAGGTTGTTTATTCCAAATTTATCTGAAACGAGAAAATTATCAAATATCACCGCTGCAAGGCCTCGCAATTGACCGCTTGATACCAAGATCTAAAAAAAGGGAAGAGCAACAGTGATGTTCAAAACTTTTGACAGATGAGCAACTTTCAAAAATAATGCCATCTCTCGCGTTTAGTTTAATGTAATTATCAACAGATCGATATTATAATTCATATTCTCAACAATATAATTTCATTCATAGCAAAAGAGAAGGATTATTTTAATGCACGTTTTTTTAACAAATTTATTGCGCTTGTTTCAAAACAGTTGTTTGTTAAGTTCAAATTTCGAGAAATACCAAAAACGCACGCGCATGTGGCCATACTGTCCATAGAGATAGAACATGAAAATGTGACCGCAGGTTGCAATATATTTGTACATGCTTGTGTCGCAGTATTTCGTAGTTGTGACAGATTTCCTAACCTTAATAGTCGTCAACTTGAACATTTAATATCTCGATTCTTAAGGAAGAATGACGCTTATTTCTGTCAAATTCTTCCGTTTCATGTAAAAACGCATCGAATAAGCCTAATTTTATAGATTTTTTATGTGCTGTAGTTAAATTGTATAATTTTATCTTATAAACATATATATTGCAAACATATATATATATATATACAAAGGTACTACACGTTTATTTAAATTTGTTTTTCTTGTCTAGCAAAATTTGTTCTAATCATTTAGTCTCTTTTCTAGCAATAAAGATGCCAAACGCTTTGAAATTGATTACTGTATTATTGCTTCTTGATGCTGTAAGAGCTGTAAATATATCATCTCCATCTTTTTCTCCAATCGTTGTAGAAGCAAAATATGAACATTCTTATAATGAAACCATAAATTCTACGGTTGAATATATGTTTTTGTATCCTGCCAGCAATGTAAGTCCTAGAACTAATTCATTGAATACATATCTTTTACTTACATTGCTTCTATTTATACTGCTATAAGATTTTTATTTCTTAATACCTGAATGATGATTATCACATATTTTTAACTACTAAAAAAGAAAATAAGATAAAGCCTCAAAAAAGTTTCATTATTTATAGATATTGACAAATCAAGGACTGTATTTTTGAAAAACTATAAATTCAAACAATTTATTATTTTCTTTATGGAGTAAAATAAAAATCATTCAGGTGTTGAAAAACAAAATCTTTATAAATCGGTGTAATTTTTTACATTAAATATTTCCAATAAATTTTATTTTAATATTATTTTAAATTGTAATAATAAACAATAAAAAGGACTTTGTATTACTCCTTTTATTTTTGTATTGTAAAAAAATATTAAAATTTTTATAGATAATAAATTTGCGTTATTATATGATAAATTCGAAGCAGAATTTTTAAAAATTAATGAGTGATGAAATTTTTTTTAGAAAAGTATATTTTCTTTCAGTGTAAAAAAATTATAAAAAATTTTATTTATTGAGAAACAAAAAATTAATCAAAATAAATTGTATTGTATTATTATTGATTAAAATATGATTTACATTTATTTATATTATTTATTTATATATTTACATTTGTTATATTTAATTATATATTAATGGTATATTTGTAGGTCACTCTGGAAACTGCTAGGATTACAATAGAAAGCAACGCGACTCATAGTTTGCCATTAATAATAGTAGTACGTCAAACAACGGGTATTCTGTCCTGGCAAATACCTTTGCTTGTCAACAGCGCAGATTTAGATACTGTGATATATAATAAAACTAGTCGTACTCTGTGCTCCACAAAGTATTATCGATACGCACAAAATGATGATGAACATGTTATTGTCGGTATTTCCACAGCCAGTCATGAGAATATCACTTTCTCTATTAGTGTGGTGGAAGTTATGGACTTTTATTTAAGGCATGTATTTGTATTATCATATAAATACAAGTAGTTTGTAGTATCATATAAATACAAGATTATTAAGAAACATACCAAAAATACGCTCGCATATAAATTTTTACATTTTATCCTTTGTAGTTCTGAAAAAAAAGTAGAAGTACAAATTTCTCCATCCGAACCTATATATTATGGCTACATCTTCTCGAAGCAGGAGAATTCCTCGGTCATTGTTCGTGTGGAATCAGACAATGATATCTGTATGACCGTTTCTGTACAGAATACATCTGTAAGGCATGATAAAATGCATGACACAGTTCTTAATAAAATATTTACAAATCTCTATCTTTCCTTTCCAGTGTCCTGTATTTGATTTGGAACGAAACATTGAGTTTTCTGGACACTGGCAGACTGTAAGTAGAAGAGGAGGTATTACAGTACCGGTAAGTTGAACTATAATAATCTTTCGGAATATGTAATTGTATTTTATACACGGTGGACCATGAAAATCTGACAATTTTTAAAATAAAATAACAAAATAACTAAATATTAATTTATTTCTTATTATATAACATTAGGAAATAGAATATCATTTGAGTATATTTGAATATATTTGGACAATGTAACTGCATTTAGCAGATAGTTCAGAAAACGCTCAATGATTCTTGATTATATATATGATTGGTTCCTACAATAATCTAGTGAAGAAATAAAAACAAGAATTAATTAAAGAATCATTGAGCGTTTATTGAGCTGTTTTGGCATTCAGTACTATAATTGCTCATTGAGTGCTCAATTAGCTCTTGTATCTGATTGGCATATTTCATTATTTCATCTTATATAATAAGAAAGTAAATCTAAATTATATTTTATATTGTTATTTAATTTTGAAAATCAATTTCCATGTTCCAACCTGCATATACAATGATGATATAAAATTGTTATAATATGCTATTATAATATAACAGTATTATATATAATTGTCACAACATGAAATTGTTACAATATTTAATATTCTTGAAGCTTTCTACATAAAGATTATGCGTTTCGCGGATTTTCTTCGTGTCCAGATCATCAGGGCGAGGAGCAGCCTGATACTTAGTATCTGTTCCTCGCCCTGATGAAGTGGACTGCAAGGTTCACGAAACATTGGCATTCCAAGAATGGATTTGTTACAATACTTGTTTCAGAGAGAAGCTTATCCGTTAGGATTCTTCGTTGTACTTGTTGTCAAAGGAGAAGACACTGACTGTAATGGATTGTCTAGTAGTAATCTTCTTCGTACTAAAAATGTTACATTAATCGTAAATCCAACTATTACCAAACGAGATTATGTTGTCGCATCGGTATCAGCAGCAGCAATTGTATTAGGTTTTTGTATCATTTATATAACGGCTGTAATAGTGTTCAGTATCAGAGAAAGTAAGAAACTTGCGACACAAGACTTGATAAATGAAAACCAAGATTTTAATGAACACATACCGAGTCCATCAATGGTAAAAGAGGTAACTAATAATAATGGATTCATATTTCATATGCAGAATGAGGCACATAAAATGTGATAAGTGAATATCTCAAAAATTAAAGAAGTACAAAAAAATGTTTTGAATAAAAATTTTAGTTTCAAAGCAGATTTATAGTGCGTTAATAAAATAAAAAGAAATGCCTCATTCTGTGTCGTGCAGTCTGTGTTTTATGCATTTTGCAAAGTACATTTATAATAATTTTAATATTTGTAATTGAATGTTATATTACATATTTTGTCAGAATAGTCCGAAATTGAATTCTACGGAAGAAGATTCATCCCTAGATGAGGATGATATAGATCTAATGGAAGATGCTCTCTCTGATAAGGATGTGATACGAACAAAAGTCATTCTCTCGGTCTGTGATCTCGCTCGCAAAGAACCAAGGATATTGCGACATAAATCTCGTTTATATTTATATTACTTGACAACTGTCGCGATATTCTATACATTGCCAGTCGTACAATTGGCGGTAACATATCAGCGTGTCCTTCATACAACTGGAAATCAAGACATGTGCTATTACAATTTCCTATGTGCTCATCCATTGGGTTTGCTTTCCGACTTCAATCATCTATTCTCAAATTTTGGATACGTTATGCTGGGTTTACTATTTATATTTTTGACTTATTCTCGGGAACACAACGAACCAGATAAAGAGAAAATTAAATGTTATGGCATACCGCAACACTATGGTTTATTTTATGCAATGGGCACTGCATTAATAATGGAAGGTATATTGTCGGCGAGTTACCATGTATGCCCTAGCCATAGCAATTTTCAATTTGGTAAGTTGTATTAAAAACAAAACATATTGTCTTTGGTGGTCTATTAAATATTATTATTTAATTTCTAGACACCAGTTTCATGTACGTAATCGCGGTACTCTGTATGATCAAGATTTATCAAAATCGTCATCCTGATATAAACGCTAGAGCACCGGTAACATTTGGAATGTTAGCTGTTATAATATTCGCAGGATTGATTGGAGTTCTAAATGGTTCCAAAACCTTTTTAATAATATTTTCCATCCTGCATTTACTAATATGTTTCTTTCTGACTGTACAAATATATTATATGGGTCGATGTAAATTTGACAGAGGCGCTTTTAAAAGAATGATGCAGGTATGTCTCCTTGATTTTATTGTACCATCGCAAAATACATTTGCCATTGATATCTTGCAGAGATTCAAACATGAGGCGCGCTGCGGCATATGGCATTTACTCCGGCCGCTTTATCCCGCAAGATTTATAATGCTTGTACTAGCGAATTTATGTAACGTTGGACTTGCGGTATTTGGTAACATGTATCAGCAAGGCAATTTCGCTACATTTTTACTAGCTATACTGATGTCCAATTTAATTTTATACACATTCTTTTACATAATGATGAAGGTATGTACATTCTTTTTCTTTTCTTTTTTCCGTGGCCGTATAATAAACTAAGAATTATTTAATTTGCATTAATATGAAAAATCTTATTTCTAGCTTTGCCACAGGGAAAAGATTCTACCTACACCCGCGATTTATATCATCTTATCCATGCTGTTTTGGGGAGCAGCCTTGTACTTCTTCGTGAATAAAACTATTTCTTGGGCACTCACACCAGCTCAATCTCGCTTATATAATAAACCTTGCATATTATTGAACTTTTTTGATTCTCATGACATCTGGCATTTTCTTTCGGCATTAGCTATGTTCTTTTCTTTTATGGTATTACTTACTTTAGATGATGATTTAACGGATGTACATCGGAGTCAAATACCAGTTTTTTGAAGAGCTCTATGTAGAGTTGAGAATTATATGAAATTTTATAATTTTACATAAGATATTCTCTCGGACGTAAAGTTACAGTTCATATAATAGAATAGTAATTATACAAAAAGAATTGTAGAATTCTTAGAATAGTAATTCCACGAAAGAATTTGTATATAAAAAAAGGCTCTGAGGAGAGTGTGTATGTGGATATTGTTTGTACCAAAGAATGCATGTGACGTCGATTAGGTCAAATGAATGTATGAACGAATGCAATTCCATAAATTGCCTGCTATAAAACCAATTTTAATTCCAGTGCTTCGATGGCACTTTTTATGAAGAATGTATGTGATAATGTTTTAAAATGGAAAAAAAAATATATATATATATATATCCGCAAAACGTAGAAAAAAGAAATTAATATAGAGAAAAAAAGATTAATGTTTTACATTTAAAGTATATACATTTTTGCATCTGTCATGAGGTAATATGTTTGCGACAGTTACACAGTACATCGTTCACAATGTTAAAGTCTTCTATATAATGTTTTCTTTAAAAATAAATATACATTTTATATATTTGTGCGTGTATGTCTCTCTTCCCTCTCCCTCCACCTTCCCGCGCCAGCAATATAATATTATTTTTAATTACATAATAGTTTGCCTAATATATTAAGGGGATATTCTCGTTTGTCGGGTCAAAAAAATCGATTTTTTTTATTGCATTTTCGAAAAGTTGATAATCTTGAAAATATATTATCAAAGCCAATAGCTGATTAGACTGAGATAACTGTAGGTTATTATTTACAATTAATCTATTTGTAAATTGTAGTTGAAACTTTAGATGCATTTTTCTCAAAATAACATTTTTCAACTGCGTAGACATAATATCTCGGGAACTAAGCGTCCGATCGACTTGAATTTTTGTGTGTCTATTTAGTATATGTTCTTTTATTACTGGAACTGTGGAATTTAATTTACGATTATTCCACTTTATTATATATAAAAAAAAACCAAACAAATTTATAGGTAAAAATCAATACCATTTTTCAAAACATTACCGTTTCAACAATTTTCAATTTTTTTCTCATATTCTATTAGGTATATAACTTTGCTTATACCTTTTTCGTATAGATGGCTTTGATTGGTGACCGAAATAAATAGATCATAGACGTCACACAATAAACTTGGGCATCTGTCAACATAACACCATAGAAACATTAGTCGATTTGTGTCTGCATCATAAAGTTATTCTCGATTGAAAATGTCAGTTTACGAGCCAAATTCTTGTCATTTGCGGGAGGTTTTAATTTTCTGCTTCAATATGAAGAAATCTGCGGCTGAGGCTCATCGAATGCTCTCAAATATTTATGGTGAAGTTATTAATGAAAGAACGTGTCGTAAGTGGTTTCAACGCTTCAAGAAGAGTGATTTTCACGTCGAAGACCATAGCGGTGGAAGAGAGAAGGTTTTCGAAGATGCAGAATTGAAGGCATTACTTGATCAAGACTCTTGTCAAAATCAAAAAGAATTGGCACGATCATTAGGAGTGAGTCAATCAGCCATTTCAAAACGTCTCAAAGCCATGGGAATGATTCAGAAGCAAGGAAATTGGATGCCGTACGAGTTGAAGCCGAGAGATGTTGAACGACGTTTGTTTGTTTGCTTGTGAACAGCTGCTTGAAAGGCAAAGACGGAAGGAATTTCTGCATCGCATTGTGACTGGGGGCGAAAAATGGGTTCATTACGATAATCCTAAGCGCAGAAAATCATGGGGAGTTCCCGGCCATGCTTCCACGTCAACAGCCAAACCGAATATTCACGACTCCAAGATCATGTTCTGTATTTGGTGGGACCAGTTCGGCGTAGTATATTATGAGCTGTTAAAACCGACTGAAACAATCACAGGCGATCGGTATCAAACGCAATTGATGCGTTTGAGCCGAGCATTGAAAGACAAACGGCCGCAATACAACGAGAGACACGATAAAGTGATTTTGCAGCATGACAATACTCGACCCCATGTTGCGAAAGTGGTCAAGACATATTTGGAAAGGTTGAAATGGGAAGTCCTACCCCACCCGCCGTATTCTCTAGACGTTGCTCCCTCTGACTATCACTTGTTTCGATCAATGGCACACGACCTGGCTGACCAGCACTTCCGGTCTTATGAAGAAGTAAAAAATTGGATCGATTCATGGATCGCCTCAAAAGATGACCAGTTTTTTCGACGCGAGATTTGTATGCTGCCCGAAAGATGACAGAAAGTAGTGGCCAGCGATGGACAATACTTTGAATCATAAATAACCAGTTTTTTACAATAAAGCCTCGAATTTCGGAAAAAAACGGTATAAGCAAAATTATACGCCTTATAGTTCCAGTAATAGTGTAACTCTTACAATTTAATAATTTCTTTGGTTTTTTTGGTTTCAGGCTACTAGAACTAACGGAATGATATCAATGCGTCAAAAAGAAATTTTTTCACGTCTTGCGTATCACCGCGTATTTTTTTTATATTATACATATGGACACGAAAAAATAATTTTTAAATATCTATTTTGTATAAATAAAATTTCAAAAAGTTTCATATTAATATATTAATTCATTTCTTTTAAAAAAATTCCTGAATAATCATATAATTTTTAGCTTTACAAATGAGAATACCCTCTTAAATCACGGTTGACTATCTGGGTTCTCTCTAATTGTACAAATACAATTACATGAGACGATATAAATTTCACAGAGGCCTTTTTAAAAGAATAATACATTGCAAGTATGTTTTTTTATTTTGTGTGCCGTTGATATCTTGTAAGAGAATCAAACACAAGGCATACTGCGGTATAGCACTTACTCCAAATATTCCGGTCGCTTTATTCAGCAAGATTCTTATACTATAAATTCATATAGTTACACTTATATACTTGTACTAGAAAATTTATATGATGTTGGACTCGCAATATTCGGAAATATCAACAAGGCAATTTCACTGCGTTTTTATCAGCTATATTTATGTCTAATTTAACTTTATACATATTTTTTTACATAAATAATGAAGGTATATACATTCTCTCTCTTTTCTCTTTTTTGCGGTCGTATAAAAAATTAAGACCCTTTTAATTTGAATTAATATAAATATTTTATGCTATTTTTGTAGCTTTGCCACAAGGATTCTTCTCACACTCGCTATTTATATCTTCTTTTTTAGAAAGCAGCCTCGTACTTTTTTTGAATAAAATTAATTGTTCCTTAGACTTTTACATCAGCCTGTAAACTCGCGCATTATTGAACTTTTTTTATTCTTATGCCATTTGACATTTTCTTTCAGTATTAGCCTTGTCCTTTTTTTTATATTACTTTTGATATTACTTATTTTAGATGATGCTCTAACGGATATACATACATCAGAGTCAAAACCAGTTTTTTAAAGATACTTTTTATAAAATATTCTCTTGAATATCAATCTACAATAGAATAATAATTATACAAAAGAATTGTCTAAAATATATAAAAGTTTTTGGAAAGAGAGTGTATGTATACGTATTTCTTATGAAACGTGTTGTGGGCATAAAAAAAATGCGTGCGAAATCGATTAGATCGAATAAACAATATATATCTCGAATAATAAGACTTCAAAGAAATAAATAAAAAATGCAAGCTAATGTATCACTGAATGGTAATGTGTAAAACTTGTGTGTAAGTGTTATCAACAAAATTATTACAGACAATTACAATTTAGGCCATTTACTTCAATGTAACAACGAAATATTAATAAATTTTGAATATTAATAAATATTGAGCATTACATTAAATTTCAATATAATATAAACGAGGCGTTTTGTCGAACCAAAAATATATCGTGAGTATTAAATCAGATCAGAAATAATCATCCATTGAAGATCTTCAACTGTCCATTGAATTATAGATAGAATATTTCGATAGACGGATATTAAAATTGAAATATTAAACGCAAACAATAGAATATCAATTTTGTTTAAAAGATACCCAAAAACTTACATTATATATCTGAGGTCTTATGAGTTGTCAAATCAGAGTATATCTGATAAATAAAGATTGTCAGGACAAGTGACTATATTTGTAACTTAGAATCATCATAGTAAATGCAGGTTAAAGGATTGTTAATAATACACATTAGTTTTACACATTATCATCCAGTTTCGATTTAGATTAATTTGCATTTTTAACTTATGACCGAATAAACGTCATAAGCTATAAATGCGATTCCATGAGTTATCTGTTAAAAGCAACGAATTTTGATTCCAGTGCTTCGATGGCACTTTTTATGAAGAATATATATAATAATATTTAAAAAATATATATATCTTTTCCGTAAAACGCAGAGAAAAGAAATTAGAATTTTTAGAGAAAAAAGGACTACATAAAATGTACATTTTCGCATCTATCGTGATTATGTTATTTAAATAATACATATTGTCCATAATGTTAAAGTTTCTCACAACGTTTTTCTTTGAAAAATATACACTTTATATATTTGTGCGCGCACGTGTATGTATATAATTATATACAGAATATTATACATTTAATAAATTAAGATATTCTTTTAGATATATGATACAGGTTGCCCCAAACTGATAAGTCTTGCTAATCAAATATTAATCATAAGATATTGTGGAATATTGAAAAAAATTAAGATACGCGTGCACCAAGATGACAAGAGTTATAAATTATTAGCTCTTGATTTTTGGGTTAACGTTCATCTTAATTTACTGCAATATAAATTTTCATATTTACAATCGAATATAAAAATGTTCAATTTCTGAAAGTTCAATAGACTAAAAAAAATCTAGCAAATTCTTCTATGAGAACAATCAAAATTTCAAGAACTGAGGCAACATCCAATATCTTAATTAGTATGAATCTTTTTGATTTCCTGTATACAATTATAATCTGTCAGAATGGCACTGACGAGTTTTTTTATTTTTTCTTAAATTTTATCTTTGAATATATAAAGCACTTTGCATTAAAGAGATAAAAAAAATCATTAATAAATTAATCAAACACTATCTCTTCTGGTATACTTTGAATTTCTTATATCATCAATTTTTAAATAAAACTTAATTTCAATAAAATCGAAATTTAAACTATCGAAATTCAAACCTCGATATTCAATGTTAATAACAAATGATGATTGTGTTCACATTCCAATCAATATTTGAAAAATTCAGGTTTTATGAAACACTATTTATTCAAAGTATCTATTCAGTTATTCTCCTTAATAGAGAAGAGATTTGCATTAATATGAATAATTATATATGTCTTTGAAGATGAATTGTACTATTGATGTGCGTTTAAATGTTAATAAGTTGGAATGAATACATAACATGGAGCAGGTACGTTTACGCGAAATGCACTCAGGATGAAACGCCTGAATCCTTGTGATGCTCCTGTCCCGCAGTCTCTAACTGCGATAAAGTTCTTTGCAACTCTGCTCGTTCAGCTGGTTGCAATCTGTGTGCAATTTCTAGCACTGCGTTCAATCTTATTTCCGGACAGATTTCCAACGCTTCCTTGATTCGCGTTACTACCGCGTCTCTCTTCACACACGTTATATTGCGCGATACCACACTGTCGTCGGTTTTACATTGAGCTTCCAGCCAATAGGTTGCAGCTTCGTCTTGATCCCACAAATACGACTCCGTTGCTCCTTTGTCTTCGATGAACCAACGTCGAAGCATCGCTTCCACTTGTCTAACGTCAAAACTAGGCTGCGTTGACAGAATTTCAGTCTTAATTTTCTCTTCAAAAAGTCGCCGGCGTAATCGCCAATAAAATAGCTGACGCGCTTTTTTCCACGGTATTATCTCCTGAATTGTATTCTTTTCGAACATTCTCTCCGGCGTATCGTGCAAATCAGCGAAATAAACAGCGACTTGACGGTAAATTGGCTCCAAAATTTGTTCGCGCTTGCGAATTTGCGCTTCGATCTCGGCACGTTCCTCCGCTGTGTTTACTGTTGTTAATTTTTCCTAGAATACACAGTTACATAAACGTTACATAAGTGTAATACCAAGAGTTGATATAAAAAATGAAGAATCGCGTTTACGTACTTTTAATTTTATTATAACAAGATCAACTCTATGTATAGTCTTCACGATGTCCTTGTTACGGAATTTGATTTCTACAACACCATCGGCTTCCAAGATGCCACCTCTACTGTTATTGTCGGCAAACATCTCCATAAAACGAGGATTTATCATAGGATCAACGACCGCCCAAGCGCCACCCCTAAGTTCTCCGTTCGGTGGAATGTAAACAAATATCGGCTTGCAATATTGTTGCAATCCGTCCACGATATATGCGCCGAACTTGATGATCTGCTCGTACATATCTGTAAGCACATAATGAATTAAAGCAGTTAGTGAAATTGGGACAATAGTCGAGCAATGATCGATAATCGAAGATAAGCTTACCTTTCATACCGCCAGAGAAGCCTCTCCAATTAGCAAAGATAAATAGCGGCAATTCCTCTTTTCCGAAATCTTGAATAGCTTGAGCAGTTTTGTACGCGCTATCCGGAAACCAAACTTGTCCTGCTTGAGATATAGTTTTAGCTTCCGAATCTAAATTGGCAGGGTCAGCTGGCAAATGCAGCTCAACAGTTCTCGTTTCGACAGCGATAATGCCACACGGTATGCCACCGAGTCTAGCTCGTCCCGTTACTACTGTTTGCGCCCATGGTCTCATTATTTCCTGTTTTGTAACAACACAAAAGTAAGTTAACAATACTGCTGAGTTTTCTAATAAAAATAAGAGTTTTCTAAAAAATTATATATAAAAATTCTAAAAAATTTGGGAATTTATATAAAAATTCTAAAAATTAACAAAGAATTTTAATAAGAAAAATTTTCATTAGAGTTGCTTTAAGATCGAAAGACAGAAGGACTCACATGCCACGAGCCTCGATCGAAAAAGCCACTTTCCCAGACGTTCGACTCGGTACAATTTCTGCCTTCTAGCATCCATCTCGGATCATAAGCTGTTTTTGTAGGCACGTAACCGATCTCTCGGTCGATTGGATCCATGATGGGTGACAGTATCGGCAACGAGGCACCTTTATTTTTAGGAAAGTAACTTAGCCACTTCAGCACAGTCGCCACCCCGTCCAAGTCCCGATCGTCAGTCGCGTGAGATACCCCATTGTTGTGCATAATCTGTGTACCGCCCAGTTGATTATTGCTAGCGTAAACCTCGCGACCCAGCACAGTATTTAATGCTCTATAACCGGTTAAAATAATATGCGAATTCTCAATCTGAATTATTCTTTGACCGAGACGGACCAGATAGGCGCCGATACCGATCGCACGGCATGACACTATAGAGATTGTGATAATCTCGTTGTATGCTTTTGACGTTTCCCCCGCGATTAGACCGGCATACTTTAAATTCTCTACCCCTAGATTATCATCCTTGCCGATGATGTCTGTGATCTTGTAACGTGATTCTCCTGCAGGATCCTCGATCAACGATGCCTTCACCGAGTTGAGGGGGGCCAAGCGCGCATAATCATCCGGCGTGAGATATATGTATTTGAAACCCTTCTCCGGCTCGTTCTCGTCTTCCCACGCGATCCTGAAAAGAGCCTTCACCTCTTCGGCTAGACCAAGACGTGCTCCAGAATTGGCAGAAAAGTATATACGTGGACACCCAAGTTGTCTCGCTCTCTCGGAAGCTCTACAAAACACAAGATCCTCGCGCGTCCCGAATGAGCCTATCATGTATGTTAAATCGTTGGCAATAAGTATAATGTCCCTGCCAAATGGATACTCCGGAGTATACAGAGTCAACTGCCACGCGATCATGCCAACGTCGTTCTCGCCCGGCAGGCGCTTCTGTTCGACCAATTGTTCCCCCTCCAATACTAACTCCACGATATCCATCACTGGATTAGGAATCGTAATCGGATTTTGCTTGCTTGGCGACATCTCCTCAACGTATCTCTGCCATAACTTCTCGAGTTGTTGCCGGAACATATCTGGCAAATCGTATACGTAAGTCGTGCCGGCGCTCTGTGCCTGAAATCTCTTCGCTTGGAGATAATCTTTGGTCAGATATGGCGTGGAGATCGGTAGTCCGTGCATAGGACCTGGCCTCCAATTGGTCCCGTTTGTAGTAGACGGATAAGACTCGAAGCGAATGATACCCGTCTTGGAGTCGGTAGCTTCCGTATACAAATGCAAGTCGATGCTGTATCCACTATCATTGGCGATACAGAGACGTACGTTGGAAGTCGGTTTCCCTGGTGCGGGTCGAATAGTCATCTTTATCTCTGCCTGTCGGACGTGCAACTTCCATAATCTTGGCCCGTATCGTAGCACCATGCTCGTCACACTCTCCTCTATTCTGCTAGGATCCATAATGACTGTGGGTACAAAGTTCAAGAAAATGTGATTGCACTCGGTACGTTTAGCGAGAGGATGCGAGAACGCAACTTCCAGCTCGTCCATGGCCTCAAGCAAAACACGCTCGCCTTCGTTATGAAGATAATCGAAGCTAGCCTCTTTCGTGATGAGGTCGGAATGTCGTATGATCGAGCGAATGAAGAAGCGATAATCCGTAACTTGCTGGCCCTTTGCGACCTTGGCTTGCCCAAGGTACAGATGCATCTTCTGATTGGATGTTGGAAGTGCTTCGAGATCGTATGTTCGCATACGATTCAATTCCAATTGGAAGGCGCAACCAGGCTCGAGATGCCGGTAGATTCTGTCCTCGACGAAGCCCTCTCGCTGACGGAAGGTGAAAAATTTGGGGAACTGCCTTTTCTTGAGTGCGGCGAACGTAACTCTTCGGATGCCACGAGATATTAACTCATCTTTGTTGTTTGCGCACCAATCTCCAAACATTCTGGACATAGTGGCATCATCCTCGGTGCCATTCTCCTTGACTGCGATGCTCAATATGTGACTTGGCTCTGCGGATTTGTCGTTAGTAGTTGCTGCTGTTGTCGTGGTTGTCGTTTCAGCCGCACTCAAAGAGACATTGATCGACGTACTGTGCCTCGATTCGCTCCCGGCGGCTTCCACCGCCTCCAACAATTTCGGACACACTATCGGCGTGGGACTCGATAGATCCTCCAGTAGATCCAAAATCTCGTCCGCATACTGATTAAAGTGATCGAGATCCTGAAAGGCCGCCATCGCGCCAGCTCTGTGGTCCACCAGAGATTGATTCTGACGATTAGGGTGATTGCTGGGTAAAACGAATTGGAAATACACCAATGGGATCTCGCCGGATAGCTCCAAGTGTTGTAAACACGTCAGGTCATAACTGATATAAGCTCGTCGTACGTAGACTTCTAAGGCTGCGTTGCACACCGCGCGATTGGAATGATAGAAGAAGTCGTGAAGTATGTCGAAGATGGACGTTTCTGAGAGAATGAGTTTCTGCAGATTTTCTGGATGGAAGTCGTGCCCATACATATCCACTGCGGAAAGAAATATAGATTCCATCTGATTATGTCTAAGCTCATATGCAGGTTGATGGGCAGCGATTAATACCTGCCTAGCTCTCAATGCAACGCGGCTGTGCTCCGTACGATTCAGACTCGTTAATTCCGTTAGCGTGCTCGATAGCTCGTCCGTGAGACCGGGTTCGTTAGCCCACAGATGATCGATCAACATAGTAACTAGGACGTTCTTCTTTGTCACTTGATTGTGACTGAAGATCATACCAGTCACAGTGGTTACATCATCCTTGTATTTTTCTATCAGTGCGGAGACACACTTATCATAATGACCTTGTTGGAATTGGCTTTCAACCGTGTAATACTGTCGGAGAAGTTCGTGCACGGCGGTCTTCATTCGACCGCGTATACCGTTCCGGTATCTTTGTACCAATTGCACGATAGCTTGAGTAGTCAGGAAGAACACGTCTCGCTCGGCTCTTTTGGACAAGGTCGCCGCGTGTCCATCAATTACAGCAGCGATCTGTTGACTGGGAAATTGAGCTAAGATCGACGTGATGTTTCGCTCGTATAAAGACATCAATTTGCGAATCTTTTTCTCAACCGAGACAGGGATTCTGCCGGATATCGTCGCGATCACCTCCTGCAATTCCAACAACGGCAAGTTAGGATCGCGTAACGAGAACATAAACTTTTCGATTAGCTCACGTAAACGTGGCAAATGGTATGGATCGGGTAAGCAGTAGCCAGCCAAAGTATTTTCCAAAGCATTTCGATACTTGGTGTGAAGATGATTCAGTTTTTCCGGTACAGCCGATGTTACTGCCGTAGGAAATTGTCTTGTGTATTCTTGCGCTTTCGTCACCAATGACGGATCATCCAATTCGAGATGCGCGATCAATGTACCGGCTTCTAATATAGCACCAGGTCTCTTTACATAAAAAACACTTCCCATCTCGCTGGCGGTAACAGTCATGACCATCTTCATTACTTCAATTTCGGCGTATGCCTGACCAGGACTAACGTGACCCCCGTCTTCGACCAAGAAATTGATTAACTTGCCGGCCGACGGTGATCTCAGTAAGGACGGATCGTTATCTTTCTCAAAAATACATGTCTGATTTCCAATTATGATCCTATAACGATCTACCTCTTCACGCATATAAGTCGTAAAACTGCCACCATCCAGTGAAAACAACAATCCTCCGTCCGACATGCGATGGATTTCAATTTCTTTATAGGAGCCATTCATCACGAGGAAGTAGGTATTGGGACCAGATTTGGCAGCCTGTACTTTATATTTGTATCCGTCGTTAATAAGCTCTACCTGCAATACGAAATGTAATAGAAAAAAATAAAAATAGTCTATAACATATACCTCAAAATCAATGCCAAAATAATTCGAAAAAGCACATTTTGTGTATAATAATATTATTATCAAATAACATTAACAGGACAGGAACTTACATCAATAACATTATCTAAATCATTGCTAGCCTGTATTTGGCCTTTCTCTAAGGAAGTTTGAAAGCCAGTAAAAGCCGCTGTAATCGTTCTATCGGCAATATGAAGTGCTCCGCACGTAACAGCCAATATAATATCTGGTTTGTCACTTCGAACACATTCGGCGATCAGCAAATCGAGCCAAGCAGTATCTATATTATTCTGTAGAAAGGATTCAGTCTCCAACAATGTGATAAGATACTCAACCGTTGTCCTAAAATCGCCTCTGATGCTCAGTTCTTTTAGAGCCACGACTAAATTCTCTCTAGCTTGATTACGGTCTTCACCCCACGAAAAACAATGGCCAAATTGAGAATCCGCGAATTCGTGAAGTCCTCCTGAAGCTCCAACTGAGAAATAACCCCAAACATTTTTGGATGATCGAAAATTCAACTCTTGCACCGTACCGGAACTCGGCTTGAAACCTAAAAAATTCAAATAAATTATATGATTTTTAGAAAAAAAATTAAATTTTTTGCGGTAGATAAGAAGTTATCTTACCTTCGTCAGGATTTTCGCTGGTAATTCTAGCTGCAATAACGTGGCCCCACGGTTGAGGTTTATGACGAGGCTGGTCGAAATCAATCGGATTATCGCCCCAAGGACTCTCCCCATATAAAAGACGTATATCTTTAATGTGGTGCAATGGTAAGCCCATTGCTATTTGTAGTTGGGCGGCCGGTAGATTCACATCCGATACCATCTCGGTACAAGGATGCTCCACTTGAAGACGAGGATTCAACTCCAAGAAATAATATCTGCCAGATGTGTCGTACAGATACTCGACGGTTCCCGCGCTAACGTATCCCACCATTTTTGCTAATCTTACAGCGGCCTATTGTTCGATAGTAAACAATCAATAACATATTGTCGAGGATATAATTATTGTGATATTTACTTTTTCCATTTCTTCGAAAACTTCTGACTTAGCAATCACGGCAGGGGCTTCCTCGATGATTTTTTGATGTCTCCTCTGGATAGAGCAGTCGCGCCCAAACAATGATATTGCATTACCATAATTGTCGGCCAGTAATTGCACTTCCAAGTGACGAGCGCATTTGGCTAATTTCATAATAAATATTGGTGAGCCAGGTATTTCGAGCTGTACTTGCCTAAACGTTAGAAATCCTTGCGATAAAAATGTATTACACAGTGTTACATATGTAATAAAAGTCCTTTTTTTTTAGGCAGAACTTTAGGGTTTTACCTAAATAAAGCGGGCAATTCCTCGGCGTTTTCTACTTTTCTTATTCCTTTACCACCACCACCTTCGCTCGCCTTCACCATAACTGGAAAGCCGATCTTGTTAGCCGCTGCTAGACACTCTTCCACGGTGGCAACGCATCCTTTTTTGAAAAGTTCCGATGATATTTTGATTTTTTTCCCGCTGTATTGCGCTGTCAATTCCGATCCTGACCAGGGAAGTGTTGGTACATCCGCGGTTTGAGCGACTATGCTAGATGCAATCTTATCACCCAAAGCCCACATAGCTTTTTCGGACGGTCCTATCGAAAAATGTAGAAATGTAATATAAAATCGACACGAAAATGCGCAAATATTAAAATTCTGTGAACAGTTGTCACGATAATTAATTCTTTATTCTTATCAATAATGTCTATAAAATAATAGCAGAAGAAACGCAAATTGTGCATATCTTTGGTTTTCTTTAACTTCTTTAATCTGTTAATCCGATTTTTTAAATGTTATTTATACCAATAAAGCAGATGTTATTTTTATGGAGTAGTTCCGGAAGTTTAGGATTTTCTGAAGCATGACCCCATCCGGCCCAAACTGCTTGAACTTGAGTACGTATTGCGATATCGATGATAAGTTCCACGTTAGCGTAATTATTGTTGTTGGTCCCACCCGGTACAGGCACGTACTGGTCTGCCATTTTGATGTATTCCGCGTTTGCCTTCAAATCTTCCGGAGTGACCATCACCACGAAACGCACAGCTCTCTCGTTTTTGAACATCTCATATGACCAGCGTCGAATCGATCGCATACATTTAACTGCTGCGATACCATTATTGGCAATCAACACCTAAAACAATAATTCAAGATAACATAAAGATCCGTAACAAATTTTAATAGTTTTGAGTTGAAGCAACGGATGAAGCAAATGCTTATACCTTGTTGATAACTTTGGTACCTCCGAAGCGATGGACAAACTCTTCAGGAGTTGCAACGGTAAAGTCCTTCTCATGAAGCCGATTTTGCGTCTGGATCATCACCGTACCTTGCGACATGCTAGGCCTATTGAACAATAATACGTTCATGAGTATTTATTATCATACCTGATGACATATATTAAGTTCTGCAAATTATTATATTTTTCACAATAAATTTTTTACAGTAGTTTAAGATGCTTAACAACATAAATATATCATATATATTCGCAAAATAAAATTTACATTTTTAAATCTTGAAACCAATGGATGTTTCGCATTTCGTATTCTTCGAGACTGATATTCTCCTCGTTATTTTTTAGAGATATTAACGGATTGTTGAATAAGAAAGTTCCTTCAGTTTGAATCTTTCTATGTATTTTCTTATATCAAGATAAATCTCTTTATCCATCTCATCATGCGATTTCCCGTAGATAAATAAATCTAAATACTTAAATCCAGAGTGACAGAAACGAATAAACGCGCGCGATTACAAAAATCAGGATAAAAATCAAATAACTCCAAAAATGATCATTCATGGACTAGCTAGGAATTTTTCTTATTTAAGCAGAACGAAAAATTTGAAGATATTGGCTAAAATCCGCGATCTCGAGATGCACAAATAATTCTGTAAATCAAGTTCGGTATTATCATTATCTGCATATCGTCATAAAAAAATTATCGAGAGCTTTCCGTCACGCGATCAGACATGCAAAGGAAAACAACTAGTATACAGAAATAATGATTTTGCTGAGCAAGCCTAAAATTTAGCTATATATATGCATATATAGATACATATTTGAAAATAATTTTGTATACGTTTGTAATATTGTAATTATAATTACATGTTACCATAATATATTATGATTATTACTGTCATAATGTTAGTAATAATAACTATATGTATAGTTCAATCAACAAATATATATAGTTGGCAACCAAAAATGACTACAATTATAGTTATTATTATTATATGTGATAGCATGCGAATGAGATATGGAAGTGTGAATGAATTAAGTTTTATATATAAACCAAGTCCCCTTCTTGGCTGTATATGCTGAAGTATAATAAATTCTATTCTATTCTAGTTATTAGATTAACGCAATTATTATCATTTAACTATAATTAATTGCAACCATTTTATGATAATAATTATTAGACATTTTCGTACTATATATGTTACACGGGGTTATATATTATACGGGGTATCCCTAAATAAGTGGTCATTTCTTTTAATCTTTAAACTAGCAGTAAACTAGCAGAGATAAACTTAATAAATATAGTATCTACTTAAATTCTATTCTGAGCACAGTGAACATTTGGAAAAATTATCCATGTTAGAGAACGGAAGAACATGCATAATTTTTGCAAGTAAAATAAATAATATGATATAATAAAAGTTGCAGCGAGTTCTAACGTTCTTTGTTATGATATAACAAAATTATTTTTATAAATTATGCAAGTTATTTCGATTTGAAGTTTTGCGAGCAAAGTACCTTTTCAATTTCTGCTCTGCGATATGGTCAACTTCCGATACTTCTCATATTATCATCTAATCAAAAAGAGGATTGCGAAAAAGAGGATTGCAATATACAGGGTGTCTGGTAAGTTTTGACAAAGCACTCGTCTGTAGATAGGACGGATTAAACTGAGTCGATAAGTCCTCCATTTTGCAATTCTCGCAACTTTTTTTTAGTTACCTAATAAGTAGAATGTCTAAATTCGATGCATGAAACAACTTTAAGATATCTTTAAAAGTTCTTTAAAAAACACCTTTGAGATATTTCACAAAGAATTCTGAAATCTTAAAGTTGTCTTATGCGTCGATTTTATTTTATCAGCTTATTCGACAATTTTTAGAAATTAATATCTCGGTAACTATTATAATTAAAATTATGCACATTACTTCAAGTAAGCATAATTCGTGAAAAATGTGTAAATATACTATATAATTTTAGTATACTAGTTATAATATTGTGTATTATAATAAGCGGTATGAAGCATTATTATACATTATTAGGTACTGAAGAGCATTATTAAAACATTACTGGGTATTAGTAAGCCAATTTTAGAGTATTAATGGGCATTATTAAGATATTAGGAGATTACTAAGGTATTAATGGACATTAGTAGGCATTGGTGTACACGATTTTGATCAGCAATTATATTTTGTGTTCTATTTATGTATATGTGGTAATTTTTACTTTTTTATTTTAAAAAAATGCAAAAATTATCTCTAATTATTTTTCAATTCCTTCATTTTATTATTTTTCCTGTACGCAAAAAGAAATTATACAAGAAAAAGAAAAGATACAAAATGACACAACTATTAGGTGTTGGAATTAATTCGTAGCGTTTTACAAATGAAAGAATGTTATTTATTTCACATGAGCATTAAAAAATACATTAATGAAAGTACTTCCCATCTCTTGTAAAACGCTACGAATTAATTCCAACACCTAATAAAAAACTGTTATTTTCGAGTTATTACTATAAATGACGAATTAAGTAAACATCATCTTATTTCATCAAAAGTGAATTAACTTAACTTTATAGAAAATCGGCGCTACTTAAAAAGATTTTTAAAATGTCATCACAGCTAAAAAAAAAATCGTTTTTTTTTAAGAGTTGTGAAACAAAAATAACAAAAATGTCATAATGTTAATAATACATTGTTTTTTTTGTACATTATTTAATTAGTCAATAATTTTCTATCAATTTGAAAAATAGTTTGTCCCTTTTTCTGGAAAATTTAATTTTTTAAGTTATCACTTTTAAAGTTAAGAAAATGATATAATTATGTACATTCATATTTAATTACATATACATTTTTTTAAATAGGAATTAGTTCTCTTTTACCTTAATATTATGTTTATAAAAGTATCGAAACAGGCCAAAAAGCATCAATCATTTTGAATAGGATAGATTTGCGTGTGCGATATATTTTATATTCCATAGATGATAAAATATGATACATCTCTTTACTTTGCAATCTTTCAATAATTTTATCAAAACAATAATTACGATTAACAAAGTTATAATATCGGAATAAAAAAGATAAAATTATATTTATACGATGTATTGATATCATTATATCGATCATGCAATTGGAGTATGGCGTTTTAGAATTTGCTTATCAAGCTTATTCACATACTAAGCGAAAAGCAATCGTCATCAATTACACACGTTAAAAGAATTTAAAAACCTATTTAATCTTTTCACAAATTCGCTTGATTATTTTTCCTTTATGCAAGCAAATCGCGATAAATTTTACATTTAAATGTTACACATTAACATTCAAATATTTATGCTTAAATATAAATAAAGATTGCGAATTCACGGGAATTACGACACACTCTAAAATTGAAACACAGCGTAATAACATATTATGTAACGATTCGTTTTTCGTCCAACGTATAAATAATCTTACGAATAAAAACAACGATTTTTCATCCAATATTTTAATTTTTAAAGAAAAAAACCGACCACATGTCGAAAGTTATTCCGATAACATCCTTTTATTATTTCATATTTTATAAGTGATCACGCGCGCGCGCGCGCGTGTATGTGTGTGTGTTTATAGAAAAAAATAAAAAAAAATCAGTCTTTGCATTATCGGTTCTTCAAAAGTATCTGACGATAACCGTGTAAGGTCGAATCACATTCGCGGCGTTTGAAATGTACGGAGAAACCAATCTATACAGCGCGCATGAATGCTTTATGATTTATCTAAAACGCAAATGTTCCTGATAACAGTGTTAAGAAGTCCACGACAACACAGTACGCACTTAAAATACCTTCTATTTTCGCAGAAGGAAACGATTGTAAGTTGCACCGAGGTTGCACTGTTTGAATATTCAAACGTTCATTGTCGCGCGGCCACAGAGGTGAGAAAGGTTACAGGAATTAAATTCTAAAAAATATGGGTTTAAAAAAATATACAGATTTAAGAGGAGACGTCAGGTTGATGGATAAAAAAATATAGTTATCTTTAGCATACAATTGTGATGTTAATTAATAATTTACATTGACACACAACACATACACACACACACACACACACACAATTTAATTTGACACACACAATTTTATTATTTTATTTGATACAAGTTAAAAATTTACATTTTGAATAATATATTTAAAAACAATTTTTTGCTGAAATATAATACAGAAATATCTTGAACTTCACGGTTGATTTATCTTGGTATCTAAAATAAATCTTCTAGGTATCTAAAATAAATTTTGATTTTATTTTAATCTTAAATGCTGCTATTCTCGTTCGATCGTGGTTTTTTAAGAAAAAATAATTTTCAACAACTTTCGGTGAAAATTTGATAACTTTAAATGGCTGCCATTTTGTTCAAAATTATTATTTTAGAAAACACGATCAAACGATAGCGACATTATTTAAGATTAAAATGAGATCAAAATTTAGATGCTTAAAAATCAAAGAATCATATCAATCATATAAAGTTTAACAATACATTTTTTATTGTATTATATCTTAGCCAAAATTAGTATCATTGACATTTTTAAATATGTATTATTTAAAACGTAAACATTTAGTTTATACCAAATTAAATTGTCAAAATAAATTGCTTAACAGCAGTAACAGCACAACATGCTAAAGATAACATTTTTCAATCCGTCATACTCCGACGTACCTTTTTAACATCATGCAATGTTCATATAATTCTTATAGTGTAGATTTAATACTAAAGATTCTAAATCTATACGTGTTTATATTAATATTATACGATGAAAATTATATATTTAAATCTAAAAGTGTCACATTTAACCTAAATAAAAAATTTAAATTGTCATTATTCCTATTCAATATATCATTAATTTGTACTAAAGCAATAAAATTTATCCATTGTTTTAGTAACGATACATTAAGTAGGAGCAGTGGCGACTTAAAACAGGTTAAATTTGACACTATAGATTTAAAAATGTACTTCTCAAAAGTTCACACAAATTTACTAATTTTCAGCCGTCCTATTCTTCATTTTCGCGAAGATTTGTGCGAATGGTAAATCCTGTCGCGCCCTGATGAGCTTTATAGCGTATTCGGCCCAAGTGAGTTTGTATCAATCTATGTTGGATTAATTACGTTGTATGCTCTTCTATTGGTAAAACATATAACGTCAACCAATAGAACATTATCCAATCCAAATCGATGCAAACCTGCTGAAAGTTCTCTTCGTTTGGAGCAATCGGGGGGGGGGGGGGGGGGGGGGGGACATCTAATGGGATCTACCTTTACTTATTATCACACCCAATGTAATGGGGTAAAAAAAAAAAAGATACAAAAATCACCTGAGGCGCTTACGCCGCTCGACCAATCCTGCCGCGACATTGATCTGCATCTGCAAATTGCCGTTATCGCTCCCATCGCTCGGGAAGATATCTTCGATTTCCTGCACCTCATTAGGATCAGTATCGCGATTGGGATTGAGCTCTTGTTCGCCATGCTCGGGGTCCCCGACGACAAAGCTCACCGACGATTCCATCTCTCTCGCGCGAACGGACTCCAACGGATTGATACAGTGGACAGTCTCCACAGTCTCCTTACTGGATTCCGCCGAACCGGAAGGCGGTAACTCCACGCGTTCGATGTTACCTTTAAAAACACATTCGCGGATGTACACACCCGTGGAATCGATAATTTTGAAGAAAATTTTGGACCACATGACAATCTCTCTTAGAAGGATCAACGTTAAGGACACTTTGAAAAGCTTGCTACTCGTCCGAAAGAATTTATTATTAAAAGGATATAAAGGATATAAAGGATCTTACGCGCGGGATCTATAAAAGAAGTCGTAGTGGTCGTAGAAAATCGTAGAAAACTGACTAGTCATAGTCGATTATTCTTCTTATATTCGACTGCGATTGGTTAATTTTCTACAACTTAAGACCCAATGACCGCTATGACTTCTATTGTAGACCCCGCGACTATTAAGAGGATCGCGCGGTAATATAAAACAGGTAGACATTGCAAGGGACATTCCCTTTGAAAAAATAGGAAGAGGAAAGAAGAGAAGAAAGAGTATGCATTGTGGCATCGCACGTGGTGATCCATGAATCCCGTGATCATTTCAAGGGAAAGACCCTCAAGTGTCAAGTAGACACGGTTACTAGCGGAAGTAAGAAAAGAGCGTAAACCGAGTGTACAAGAAAAGTGACAGAAACGTAATCGAAATTTCCAGGAGGTTTAGAGCCACGACATAGACTTTTGTGTAACGCATAGCGCATAAAAGAATCAATCAATTAAAATTCTTCTTTTCTACGAAGTGGAAGAAAAGGAAGGATTCAGATTGGTTGATTCTTTTATGCGTTATGCGTTACAGTTCATGCAAAAGTTTGTGTCGCGGCCCTTAAATTGGAGCAGCGTTTTAAAACTTTGACTGCCAAGTTGATTCCGATATTGAGTTTAATAAATCCAATATTATTTTACTTTATTACTTTTTAAATGCTTATAATTTATACTGACTCTTTAATGTCTTAAATATTATACTTGCATTAAGAAAAATTTTTTATTATTAGCATATATGATAGAATACATTTTAGTAACTAAACAGAATTTTTGATTATCATGATTGGACTCGATATGTTGTAACTAGTGATTGTTGTAGTTAGACTTAACTATAAGAATTTAATCAATATTTTTATATACAACTTCTAATTATATTTACTAGACGTTTCTTCATTAAAAAATTATACTGACTTAATTAAATAATTTTAATATCATTATCAAGAAATTCTCATATACTTAACAAGAAGGAATTAATCATATGATGATTTCTAGAAACATTATAATTCGTTCTTTTTCCAACAAACATAATGGGATGTGTTCGGATTTTCATCCGGATTTCCTCCCCAGATGTCATGTCATTCATGTTTAACATACAGTAAACAACAAAGACAAAATGATACCTGGATGACATTCGGCTGGTAAGAATCTGAACACAGCCTTGACATCATATTTAATTAATAAAACCAGTTTTTTTGCCAGCGTAATAAAATCAGATAAATAAAACCATCACTCCTAAATGAATGATGACTCACGTGAATTTCTTTACGCATCATCCAAATATAACATAACGTTTAAGGTAATCAAAGTATTAAGGTACAAAAAGTAAATCCCCCGTTTATGTTTCACTGCTCCAATTTAGGCTTCTTCCGCTTCCTGGAAGTGTCACTTTCCTCGTACATTCAACTTACGCTCCGATCCTTTCGCCAGAAATGCACGTGGACTTGCGTATGTGGTATATGAATTACGAGGAAGTACCGTACAGAAAGTCCAGAAGACGGCGTAGTAACCCAGTTACGTTCACTCCACTTCTTGATATCTCCTCTTCTCTTACGAGCGGCATGTAAATTCGAAGCAAACCGGCCACCGCGTTGAAGAGATACGCGGCCGAAAGGATATTGAAGACGACAACGTCTCGCACCGGATCGCGCGCACTACACTGACTTCGCTGGAAGCAGGGAGATCGAAGTGAAACAAGTTGCACTGTCCCGTGGCGGGGCATTCAACTACGTTTCGCACAAGCCGAACACGTCTGACGCTCGCCCAGGTTCAAGGGTCGTCTTGGTAACGTCGGCTGATCATGCGGCAATCACGTCGATCATCCATTCCACGCGGAGTTCTCGCGCGTCTTGTATTCATTGCAAATTTACTCCGCCTCCACGGGTCTAACAAAGCGACCGTAACTGAGTCGTGAGACGTAAGTCGTAGTTGTAGATTGACAAAATATAGCGTGTTGATCTACGACTAGGTTCCACGTTTCACGACTGTTTTTTTGTTGAGGCCCTACTTCTTCAATCCTCGTCAAGCTTATTTCTCACGCCTCTTTCTCTTTTTCTTCACCCGACAATCGCATCAATCTCTTGTTGCCGTGCCATATTCTTGGGTAAATGAACAAAAGTGAATTTTATACTGGGAAAAAAATTTGTAGCACTTGTAACTATAATTACATTTCACTATAAACAATATTAAGATTAGTTTTTACTATAATTATGATTATTACTGCTGTAATGTAATATTAGGTGTTGGAATTAATTCGTAGCGTTTTTA